TTTTCTTTACCCAGAAATGTTCCTGGAATGAAAAAGGACTATGGTTCATTACAATTTCAAGGAAACATTTTAGATCTATTCCCTCTTCTTTCATTTAGTCTTATATTCACTGAGCATCTTTCCAATTCATGATTTGGTTAAAGGAACTTATGGGTCAAGAGAGAATGCCCTAAGAAGAAACAGTTCTTATCCTGTGACATTCTGGTTTATCAATCAGTCTCTTGAGAGGTGGCTTACACAATAGAGATTTATTCTCACAGATCTAAGGACTAGAAATTAAAAATTCAGGTGTTGGCAGGTTGGTTCATTCTGAGTGCGGTGAGAAAAGAATCTATTCCAGGCCTCTCTCCTCAGCTTGGAGAGCCAAGCTATCTTCCTGTGTCTCTTCACACAGCCTTTCCTCTATATGTATTGGTGTCCGAATTTCCCCTTTTCATAAGGGCACTAGTCATACTGGATTATGATGTACCATAATAACCTCAATTTAACTTGATTATCTCTACAGAGACCTGTCTCCAAATAAAGTCACATTCTGAGGTATTGGGGCTTAGGACTTCAACATATGAATTTTAAGGGGGACACAATTTAACTCATAGCAGAGAGGAGAGATATTGGGGGACAAACAGCAGTCTCTGCCATAATGCCCATCTTGTGTCTGAATGATTGGCACAATCCATCCCCCTCCCCCACCGCCACTGCCCAAGTCAGTTACTTATGGGAGTTCACAGGGATGAATCAGCTCCATTTTTCTCTTGAACCTTATTTATCAAGGCACCTCACCAGACTCATTAGCACAGGGCATGTGTGTACATGTGTGAATGTATCTCACTTTGTTCCCAGGGCTGCATGCTACCTGTGCTCCAAGTAATACTAATACTGGAGAAAGATAATGGTTAACCTTTACTATGGGCAAACTACATTCTAGATGCATGTTAACACACTGTATGCATTATTTCATTTTAACTTCACAGCAACTTTATCATGTGGGCAGTAGTTTTATCCCTATCTTCAGTCAAGGAAACTGAGGTACAGTGAATTTAAGCAATTTTCCCGAAGTCGCCTGGCTGGTGAGTGACAGGGATATAAATGGACTCTGACTCCAGAGCCAATGCAGCATGCTGTTCCTCAAAAAGTTTTCACTAACACAGTAGCTATAGTTTATGACTCTATCCCTTGGCCAAGGCCCTAAACCTCCAGCTGTCTGGGAGGACAGATGCTTTATCTCGTCTTATAGTCTGCATTTTATTTCTATATCCTCTTTCTCTTTCAAAAGCATCCAACCCACCATAAATTCCATTGATCTTAGTTCAATAGTTCCAGAATATCTTTTCTTTTTGAGATTTTAAACATGTTCATTGTTTTCTTTTTTTAGTGAAGTATAATTAACATTCAGTGTTAGTTTCAGGTGTACAGTGTAATGATTCAGTAATTCTATACATTACCCAAAATACCTTTTGAGTCTTTCCATTTTTATCTGGTTTCCACTGCCACCACTCATCATCTAGGCCCCTAGATTTCTACAGTCTATACATGCAAATTAGGTGATATTAACTTTAATGCCTACATTAGTTAGGATTAATCTGGAATATCCCCCAAATGGATTCTCCTGCTTTCACACTTCTACCCAAGAGCTGGTTTTCCAAAATCTAACTGCTTTCAGAGTATAACCATTTAAAAATGCAGACTAGTTCATGTCAATTTGCTGACTAAAATCCCTGCCTAGGGATGCCTGGGTAGTTCGGTTGGTTAAGTGTCTGCCTTCGGCTCAGGTTATGATCCCAGGGTCCTTAGATCAAGCCCCACGTGGGACTTCTTGCTCAGTGGGGAGTCTGTTTCTCCCTCTGCCTGCCGCTCCCCCTGCGTGTGCTCTCTCTCTCTCTCACACACAAATAAATAAATAAAATCTTAAAAACAAACCCTGACTGCCTCTCTGACATCTCCACCACACTTGCCTCGCTCACTACCTATGGTCTGGCCACACAGGCCTTTGGTAATTATCTTGAGTAAGGCAGGCTTTCTCCTGCTTCAGGGCCTCTATATTCTAATCCCAACTCTCGTTCCCCAGATGTTTGCCTTCATGTCTCCTACTCCTCCTTTATACCTTAGTGTAAATGCCACTTCTTGGCAATGTATTCCTTGACCAATCTAAAGTATACTTCCACTATCCCTCTCTATTACATCACCTTGTTTCATTTTCTTTAGGCTGCTTCTCCATAGTTGACATGCTATTATTTGCTTACTTGTTCATTATCTGAGGTCCTGACAAACACAACTAGAAGGTAAGTTATTGTTCACTGCCTGCAATACCAGAGCCGTTCGAGTATCTAAAGCTTGGTAGATATTTAACCAGTAATTGTTAAAGAATGAATGAATGAATAAATCTCCCCGGGCATGGTGCACAAAATTCTTTCTTGCTCCTTCCACTTCAAAATGAAAAAATTCCAATCAAATAACCTTAAGAAAACACAATAAATTAACTCTTCCTGAATTCCAATTTCAGCTCAGCAAGCACACTCAGTGAGGTTTATCTGAGATCTTTTTTACATTTCTCTCAGCTGTGATCAGTGACTTACATTGCCTCCACTGCACTATATAACAGCCGGGGTGGATTTTGGAGGCAGATCACATTCTCAAGGTAGAGACCTTCCAACACTATATCTAGGAGGGTAAAGAAGAAGACACTCTGCTTTCTGGAACCCACTAAACTTTGGCTAGATAACAAATGAGGAAAGAAGGCCACTTCAAGGGAATCTAATAATTTTTTTTTTTTATGTGCCAGGCTAGACTTCAAGAACTTTACATACATGAACTTACGACTCTAAATTCTGTGCTAACATTCTAACTAATTACAGATGAGGAATCCTAAACACAGAGAAGCAAACATAGCTTGCCCAATATTACATAGATACTAATTTGCCTAATTGGGGTTTAAACTTAAGAAGTTCAGCTCCGGAGTCCACGTTTCATCACTATAAGTAAGATTTGGAACATGGAAACTAGAACACACTTAGAAAAATGGGACTGTAAGAGAAAGAAATGTTTTGAAAACCTCTTGCATTACATACATAATAACATCTTCTTATCAAAAAGTAAATATTAAGCACTCTCAACTTGTGAACTTTATTAGAAGCTGTATTTGTTAAAGGTTGAGATTGTGTGTGTGTGTACTACCGTTATTTATTCAAGTTTTAATTTTAATTCGTTAAACTACAGTGTTATTTCAGTTTCAGGCATACAATACAGTGATTCAACAATTAAAGGTTGTTTCGTTACAACCAAATTCCAAAGGAAGACCAAATTCTTCCTAATATCTAGTGTTGCTTGAGAGAGAAATCAGGACCTAATTCTGTGTCCTCTGACTAAATCTTGGGCCCTGCTCTCTGTGCTTCTTTGCCTTATTTTAGTAATCTGTTTTATGACCTTAGGAAGTCATATCACCTCAGAATGTCTTTCTTTCCTCTGTAGGGCCAGTGAAACACAGACTCAGCCCAGTAACTTTGCAACTAATACCTATATGACCTGGGACAAGGTTGATACTACTTCACCAAATTTGTTTCCTCATCTTTAAAAGTTGGGGTAGCACCCACAACACAAGGTTACAGGGAGAATTAATAAGAGAAAATATATGAAATGTTTGGCATAAAGTAGATACTCGATAAATATCTTTACCCCAATTTTTACAATATATAAAATCTAGCTTTTTCTTAGAAAACAGACTCTACCCTCAGTAGACTTACTAACAGACAGATTCGCTAGGAAGTTTCCAGATTCCTTGTTTACCTATTACTTGAGGGGCTCCTATGCACAAAGTCAAAGTGTCATAAGGTAATTCAGTTGGGGCAATGATTGTTGTACATAACCATCTATAGAAAATGGTAAATATTTTAAGTGAGGGACAGTCATGAAAATTCAGAGGAGGAAGAAATTGCTTTCACCACCAAGAGATGGGGCACAGAGTATAGAAAGGATATTTGAGCTAAACATTGAAGGATGTCACTAATAAATAGTATTTCTTTGCATAGTCCACAGATTAACATAATTACTTTCTCCTCTCTGGTATGCTTCATCAGTTTTCACTACTTTTATTATTAAATTTATATTAGGCAGTAATTTCTGTTTCTGTTTCCCACTTCTTGTGCATTTCTGGATAGCAGAACTATCTTATCCCACTAAATTCTCCAGCACCTGATTAAAGTAACAGCTATAATGAGGAGAGAAATCACAGAAAAGCTGTTTGGCTTTTTTGTTAATTTAGTGTTAACAGTGTGGCTGTAGAGTCTGACTTTAACTTTAGGCTGTGCCTCTTAGCTCTCATGACTTTTAGGGTTAACATAAAATACAGAATGCCCAGTTGCGTTTCACTTACAAATAAACAAGGAGTCATTTTTTAGTATAATTATGCCCCATGCACTAATTAGGGGGCACACATCTAAGAAAATATTTTTTGTTGTTTATCTGAAATTTCGGATTTAACTGGGCATTCCGTCTTTTTATTTGCTAAATCGGACAATCCTTGTGGCTTTTCTGATCTTGTTTGTTATTTGGAAATGGGCACGAAAACAGTACCTTCTTCTTAAGGTAATCTATATAAAAAATATCGCACACAGGTAAACCCTTACTTACCCTTCCGAATCAGAATACTTTTGTAGGAGACATACGCCAAAACTCAGGGACAATGCCCCTGAGCTCACAATACGGTTACTCTTATTAGTTGGTTTTCAACGGAGTGCAGAGACATTTCGATAGAACTCTGAACAAAGTTGTAAACTGCTTTGAGGATTTGCAAATTTGCCTCCAACCTAATAAGGGTGTTTAGCAAAGTAATTTCAGGCGGAAAAGGGATTTCCCTTAGTTACCGGGAAAGCGTGTGCTGTGCCTCTGCGCACGCGCACAAGGGCTCCGGCGTCTCCCCGCCCGGCCCCCGCCCGGCCCCCGCCCGGCCCCCGCCCCACCCGAGAGAGTCACGTGGGTGAGCCGTCGCTCTAGAGGCGCCACCGGGCCTTGTCATGTGACCGAGGTTCCTGCTTCGTACTAGGATGGAGCCGGAAGAGGGGACGCCCTTGTGGCAGCTGCAGAAAATTCCAGCCGAGCTGGGCCCGCAGGTGAGGAGAGCGCAGGCGGCGTGGCAGGCGGGGCTCTGGCACAGCCCGACCTGCAGGTCCGGCCCGGTGTGATCGAGATGTCTTCGCTGGGCTCACCCGGGCTGCCCAGGGCAGGGACGGGGCAATGGGCGTGATGTCCGGGGTCCGGCCCCTTTCGTCCCCTGGAGAGCTGAGGAGGCCGAGGCTTTTGGCGCCACCTCCGCGCCCCTCCTTGGAGCTGCCCCTCGAGGGGCTTTTCGAGCTGACTTGCGGCCGGTCATGCTCGCACCCGGGTGGGGTCGGCCCATCAGCTCCCAAGCGCGGCCCGCGCGACCCGGTGACTGGGCTGGGGAGGGAAGTCGCCACCATAGTATTTGAAATCTTACAACGTGGAGCCAGTGGTTTGCAGCCTCTCATTCATTCATACAGTACACACCTTCACCGTCCCTGTGCACTAGGCACAGTGCTAGGTGCTGGGGACAAGCTGGTGACCTAGAGAAGTATACCCTGCCCCCTTGAGGGCGACAGAAAAAAAATTGGTAAGTGCTACCAATAACTGGGCGACTTACTTTAGGTAGCGTGGTATAAGGTAGCCTTTCCCTCAAGAGGTGCCATATACACTGACACCCGGAGCCTGGGAAGGAACTTGGTCGTGAGGATCTGGGAAAAGCAGCTCTGTTCATTCGTCCGGCCAGCTTTGCACTGAAGTTTGCCTTGTGCCGAGTGCCCAAATGGCATAAGGTGAAATGGTGAATGAGATACAGCCTGTGCCCCTGTGGAGCTTGCTATCTAATAAGGAAACCAAACTGAATTAACCAGTAATGAGCTCGTGGGACAGGTAGCTCCCCAGATTCGAGGGGGCAGGGAGAGGCTTTGCAGAAAAGGAACATCTAAATTCTAGGTTGAGTTCTGAAGGATGAGTAGGAACCAGACAGTCTAGAAGGAAGAGAGTGTTTTAGGCAGAGGAATAGCAGCTACGAAGCTAGAGGAAGGAAACCAGCCTCTACAGGTTTCAGGACCTGCTGTAATTTTCAGAGGCTGAAATTTGAGTGAGCAGAGCAGGGAGACTAAGGCTAGACAGTTTAGTAGGAAGTCAGGTGGCTCAAGTCTTTACGTGCCTTGCTTGTGTGTTTAGCCGCAGTACCAAAGGCGCTGGCAGTTTTGAGTTTGAAAAATCAAACGTGGAGACAGTAATTACATCTAGTAAGTATCTCGACTGAACTGTGAGAGGAGGAGAAAACCCAGTGGTTGCTGTAAGAGAAAAATCTGACTGAGAAGTGGGTTTTTCCCCCCCTGAAAAGAAGGAAAGACCTGAAGGAAATTTGCCTGTCCCTAAAAGAAAGCAACATGTGCAAAATGGAGCTTCATTATTAGCTCTGGGAGCTGTGGTTCTGTTTGTCCTCAGAAGTCAGTCTACTGATTCATTGTATTGTAATTAATGCATAAATATGTTTACTCCTCCTCCTCTGTCCCACAGCAATTCAGGTCTCATTACACAACTTCTTGACTGGTTGGCTTGCCTCTGGTCTCTTCTGAACTCCTTAAGGGTAGATACCTTATCTTTAGTTCTGGAGAGTTGTGTCTGGCTCAAGGTGGGTTCTTAATCAGTGTTCGCTGAGGGAAGGAATTAGTGCATATTAAAATCTGCCCAACCATGGGGCAGTTATCTGGATGCCAAGCTTTGGTGGGCTGGTCTTCAGTGTCAGTGATCGGCATCACTGAGTAAGTCCCAATTCTGTTCCATTCACAATGGGTGAAGGGTGGGAGTGGGGGCTTCGCCTACATAATGTGATAGAGGGGTTTGTGGTAGGCAGCTTTTATAAGCCCCACATTTAGGTCGTCTTTTTTCCTTGATTCCATTTACAGTGGGAAAGTGTGGGGGAGATAGAAGAGAATAGACTTACTTAATTCTTATCAGGATCAAAAAAACCTGTCTTAACCCTTTTCTGTGATTTTACCAGTGCAGAAACGGAAATGTCAGCAGAGAGTTTGAGAAATGTGCCTGAGGTGTCAAACTAGTAAGTGGTAAAGGTGGAACATGTGTTCAGATCTGTTGATCGTGAGTCTTTGTATCAGCCTTCTGCCCCTGTCTTCATTCTGTCTACTTCTTAGATAAGGCCCATAACCTTTCCCACCATGTAGGTTGATGACACCTAGGTGTCTGCATCCAGCCAAAGATCTCATCCCTGAGTGTCAGGCTTCTGCTGAGACACACTCCAGGTATCTCAAATTCAGTGTGTCCTTGGCTGAACTACTCGTTTTCCCCCCCAGAACCACTCTTCCTGTGGTTGTAACTTCATTTTTGATTTAGGGGACCACCATTTACCCAGCCACTCAACCTAAAATCTTGAGTATCATCCTTGGTTCCTCCTCCTTTTCACGTCTCTTTTACCTCTGTACTGCCTCCATTTTGAGTGTCCTCAATTATTTAGGCCCCCCTGATTTCATCCTGGTAAACTGAGGGCAGGGGACCTTTGGTCTCACCATCTCTCTTTTCCTTTTCTTTCCTTTTATCTCCCAACTTGTTAGCAAATTTATGGAAAAATAATGCAAATATGTGAATAGATTTCTTCCCTGCGGAAATAATTAAAGAGCCTAGACACTGCAAACAGCGCCTTTTATGATTTGGCCTCCACTCACCTCTCCAGCCTTATATCCTGTCTTTTTTCAAATTGAACAAGTGATTTTACACTTCCATTCTGTGCATATGCTGTTGCTTGTGACTAGAAATGCCCTTCTCTTCTGTTTCGATGGCCAGCTCCTCATCCTTTTAAAACAGCCCTTTCCCTGCTTCCTGTCTGTGCTCCTTTGTATCTTCTGTAAACTTATAATATAGCTCCAGTCATTCTAAATTGCATTTACGTATTTGTATGTTTGTCTTCCTCTAGTGGACTAAAGCTCTGATATGGTAGAAACTTAATCTTGTTTATCCTCAGTTTCTCATTTGTGAAATGGGGATAATAACAATACTTACCTCATGGGGTTGTAGTGAGGATGAGCACAGTGCTTGGTACTCAGTTCGGGCTTCATAAATGGTGGTTATTATGGCTATTTTTGCTTTGTATTTCCATTAACTTGTTTAACAATTGGCTAAGGTGCTCATTACATATTTGTATATATGAATACAAACATTTATAAATGAATGGATAAATGAATGAATAAAAACATTTACATCCAAAAAGGTGACACTTTTATTTTTTAGTTAGAGTTCTGGGTTTGGCTTTAGCCTAGGGGCAATTTGGGATAAGACGGGATATGTGTAGAGAATTTTGAATGAATTTCAAATTGAGAATGTTTGTTGACTTATGGTAAATAAAAAGTCTGTTCACATAGTGCATTAGCCATTATTTGGAAGTGGGGTTACCAGTTTCTCATTTCTATTCTGATATGTGTGGTGTTATAGAGAAAGAGTTATTGCTTAAAATGGAGTAGAATATGGTTCAGGGGGAAAGAGTTGGAAGACTTGTTGCTTAAATTCATTTCCAAATTATATGGATTCAGATACTCTTTTTACAGGACACAAATATTCCCTGGGAGAGAAAACCATATTAATAATTTATCTAGTATAGTGCCGGCATAGTGGGCACTCACTTAATGTATGTTAACGACATGGAACACAATACCAGAAGTAGTAGTGGTGGTGGTAGTGATAATAGTGAGAAGAAGAAGAAGAAGAAGAAGAAGTATGACAATGGCTAGCAATGTTTAAGTGTTTTATACATGCTAGGAATGGGCCAAGTAAATGTGCGTGTACTCATTTAATCCTTACAACATTATGGGGGTAGATGATATTCTCATTTTAAACATGAGGAAACAGGCACAGACCACTTAAATAACTTGATAAAACTAGTTAAGTGGTGGAACTAGGGTTCAAACTAGACAGTTTTATTCCAAAATTCAGTGTTGATAACTATGTTCAGTTATATATGTGTTAGGACTTCCATTGCTGATGCTAAGGTAGGGTAGAGATAAAGGAATGTACAAAAGAAAAAGAAAGGTACTGACTGCTTTCTTGGAGTGGACCAAAAGAAGTGAGTATGAATGCTGTGAAAATGGAAGTAAAGGGAAATGAAGTTTGTCGATCTATGGTAAAAAATACCTTTAGTCTAAAAGTCATACTTTTTTTAGATTATTGGTATAAGTACAATGTCTAAGTAATACCAAGGTGAAACCTTTATATTCACCATCTTCCTTTCATGAATATTGGGGAAACAACAGTGTATCTATGAAATTATTTTAGCTCCTGAAGGTGGACAAAATTATAGAAAGTCTGGGATGTTTATTGGAGCTTTAATTTTTAATGAATGTGAATACTGTTAAAAATAGTTATATTTCAACCTCTGCTGCTTTTGTAGATAACATGAGCTTGTCCCAACTATATTTGTTTCCTACAAGGAAGATAAATCTTTTTTATAAGTTTACTTATAATTCGTTTATTTCCTTTTCTCTCTAGCTTCTTCACAAAATAATTGATGGCATTTGTGGCCGAGCTTATCCTCTCCACCAGGATTATCACAGTGTTTGGGATTCAACAGAATGGAAGAATGTTCTAGAAGATATTACCAAATTTTTCAAAGCTGTAGTTGGTAAAAATTTATCTGATGAAGAGGTAACTTCACTCCAATTTTCTGTACCTTATAATAAATAATAAATTGTTTTCAGGTTTTTCTTAAGTTGGTCTTTAGGGCACTATATTATACAAGAACCATCATCAGTAAGTGTATATATATATATATATATATACACACATATATATATATACATTTTTAAAAATATTTTATTCATTTATTTGAGAGAGAGAGAGAGAGAACATGAGAGATCAGGAATGGGGGTGGGGGTGGGGGAGGGAAAGGGCAGAGGGAGAGGGAGAAGCAGACTCCCGGTTGAGCAGGGAGCCTGATTTGGCTGAATCCCAGGACCCTGGGATCACGTGAAGGCAGATGCTTAACTGACAGCCACCCAGGCACCCCCCAATAAGTACATATTACAACAAAAACCTCATAATTGTGAGTAGGCAAATCTGATTGTGGAAGTTCTTATTTTTTATAGTTTTGGTGGTTTGTGTTTTTAAAATTGTGACACATTTAAATCATGTAGAAGAAAACTAAAAGTTATATAACTGACACCTACACTCCCATTATCACAATTAAACAGTTGTTAACATCTTTATGCATTACAGGTTTGTGTGTTTGTTTTAGAAACAAGACATTACAGATATACCTAAATATCACCTGGGCATGCCACCCTTCCCCAAGAGATCACCACTTGTGAAGTTGGTGTACATGTTTTGTAGTCGATATTGTATGACTATTTACATTGTAAGCAATATATACAATTATTTGAGCTAAACATGTAACTTGTGAATGATAACATGTATCCCTTTGTAATTTTTTTATGGAATGTTGTGTTTTAGACTTATCAGTGTTGGTAAATGTAGATCTGGTTCCTGTATTTTAACTCTTACAGTATTTGATGATAGGAATTAGCAGGACTTATTTTCCGGCCCCCTCCTGATGAACTATTAGATCATTGCCTCTTTAATGTATAGTACTTCTACAAATATTTTGTACATGTCTCCTTGTCCACATATTAGCCAACTTTTCTTGGATAGACATCTTGACATGAAATTATAGGGTCATGGAGTATCCTTCCATTGAATTGCTTTTGTACCTTGGTCAAAAATTATTTTGGCATGTTTGTATAGGTTGCCTACTTTAAAAAAAAATGTAGTTATATATGTTCATTTTGATTTGGATGGTATTCTGGGTGGGAGTTCTTTGTTAGATATATGTATTTTAAATATCTTCTCTCATTATGTGGCTTGCCATTTCACTCTTAATGGTGTCTTTTTGTGAACAGAAGTCCTGAATTTTAATCAAGTCCAGCTTTGTCAATATTTCTTTTGGTGGTTAGTGCTATTAAAATCATGTTTAAGAAATATTTGTGCCAAAGTCATGAAGATGTGTTTGTTAGTTTTCTTGTAGAAGCTCTCACATTTATGTTACTGATGCATTTTGAATTAATATTTGTGTGTGGAGTAAGGGTCGAGTTCACATTTTTTCACGTCAATAGCCAACTGACCCAGTAGCGTTTATTGAAATGACCGTCCTTGCTCCCATAGAATTTCTGTGCAGCCTTTGTTGTAAATCAGGTCACTGTATATGTATGTATCTGGACTTTTTTTTTAGATTTTATTTATTTATTTGACAGAGCGAGAAAGAGCACTGACAGACGGGGGGTGCAGGAGAGGGAGAAGCAGGCTCCCCACTGAGCAGGGAGCCCAATGTGGGGGCAGCCCAGCAGGTTTTTTGGTTGAAATTGACAAGCTGATTTTAAAATGTACATGAAAATACAGAGGACCTAGAATAGCCAAAGCAATCTTGGAGAAACAGGAAGTTAAAGGTCTTCTACTGCCAAATATCAAGACTTTATGTAACATAGCTTTAATTCTACAGTAATTAAGACAGTGTAGTACTGAGAAATATAGACAAACTAACGGAGCAGAATTAAGAGTCCAGATACAGGGGCACCTGGGTGGCTCAGTCGGTTAAGTGTCTGCCTTCGGCTCAGGTCATGATCCCAGGGTCCTGGGATCGAGCCCCACATCGGGCTCCCTGCTCAGCAGGAGGCCTGCTTCTCCCTCTCTCACTCCCTTTGCTTGTGTTCCTTCTCTCGCTGTGTCTCTCTCTGTCAAATAAATAAATAAAATCTTAAAAAGAAAATCTCTTGGTTGTTAGTTATGCATTCTCATCTTATTCTCTTCATAGAGACAGAAATGTATTTTTTTTAACTGTCATTTTAAAGGTTTTATGAAAGGGGAGTGGAGCTGTGTGTGTACATTTTAAACAAAGACCCTTTCGCTTATTTTCTGTTTATTTTCATAGATATTTCAGCAGTTGAATCAGTTGAATTCATTTCATCAACAAGCTGTCATGAAATGCTTGAAAAGTAGGAAAGATGAAATCAAGCAGGCTCTGTTAGAAGAAATAGTTGATATTTCTTCTGCACAGCTACAGGATTTTGATTGGCAGTTAAAGGTGAGAATCTTTTTATGGGCATGTATGTTTTTTATCTCATTTTTTGAATAGACATGCTTATTCTTCATAATATACATCTAAAATTTCTGTTATTTTAAGAATACATTGTCAAAAAATTGTATTTTTACATTAACTTAGTACAGTACAAACATCCACATAATATGTAAAAACACTACATTGATAATTTAATTAACTAGAGCTGTGAATCATTAAATGTCTTAAGTAGTGGAGTAGTATGTATTCAACATCTATTTTTGGCTAGAACTTTCTAGACTTTATAGTCTTCCTGAGATTGGTAAATACGATTCCGCCTCCAGGGGTAAAATCTGTAATGTGCTATTAAAAGAGCACTTAAAAAACATTTTGAAAAGAGACTCATGATCAGTAGGATTCATAAAGAACAATTTCAGACCAACTTTCCATGCTATATAGGGTACCTAGACCTAGATGAGGAGGTTGTGTTGAAACACATTGTTGTTTCTTCTTTTCAGCATGATAAGTGCCTCATATTGTCTTTGTGGATAAAGTGGAGAAAAATGTGGACAAATCATATAGTTATTTGGGTCATAGCTGGGTTAATAACCAAAACCAGATGAATTTGTGTTAGCCAGAAAGGAGGTCTCTGTGATTCTGGTTTTGGCCCAAACTTTAACAAATATTCTTTCATGCATATTATGCTCATATGCTCATCAGATCTGCGATATGTTAAATATTAATATAATACAGTCAAAGTTTAAAATTATTTTACAGCAAATTACAGTGATGGACCAAATGAAGCAAAATAAACTGAGCAGAGATAACCTAGGTAAAGGGTTTTTATTTAAATAAAACCAATTTAATATAAAAGATATGAGAGATATGCCAAAAGTAATTTGTATGAAAAATATTTAGTTGTTTTGATTTGCCAAATGTGACCTGAGTCAGCAGTATGGTGATTCAGTCTTGTTTTGTTAGTAGAAATGCAGTGTTTCAAGCAATGGGTAGTTCTAATTCTGTTTTCATTCATTAAATCTTTTTAGTTAATTTAATTTAGTAGTACTTTTACTTTTGGCTGCCAAATATAAGAGATACTTAAACAAATTGGAGCCAAACCAAAAAAGAATGAACAGGAACTTAAAATCGTGGTACATGAAGGTTTTTTGAAACACTTGAGACCATCTATCCAGAAAAGAAAAACTTTATTAGAAAAATTATAGTTATCCTTAAAGGACTAAAAGTCATCTGTATGGATGAGGGAATTGATATATGCTCTGTGGCTTCAGAGACTAGGACAAAGGGTAAGGTCTAAGGTATATAGTTTGCAATAAGATGAGTTCACGTTCAACTTAAGGAGAACTTTTTTACACCTTTCAGTATCTGAAGATTATTTTAACCTCTTCTTGAGGTAGCATGTTCATCATTGGTCATACTCAAACATAGACTGAGAAAGCAGTTACTGGAGACACTGAGGAGGAGAATTATCTATACGGTAGACCATCTTTGATACTTCCAAATCTCAGATATTATGAGTCCTGGTTTTTTAAGAGAGAATGAAGGAGGTATGTGAGGATTCAGTTCTGTAGTGTGTGCACTCCGAGGATGTTTGTTAGGGAAGTAGTTCCTTACCAATCATTGTACAAGTAATGAATGGTACAAGTAAATTTTTGCAAGTAGTAACATTTTGAAGATTCAGGTATTGTGGAGTTTTTTAGCGAAGATTCCAGGAAAATTGATTTTCCCTTTGCCATCTGCCAATGAAGCTATGGTGCTTGTTTCAAAAATTATTAATATCATAAATATTTGGTTCTTCTGTTTCCTCTAGGATTCTCTCTAGACAGAAAATAGGAAGTGGAGTAAATGTTGAGTGTTTTTGCTGAGTGACTCTAATTGAAAGTGGTATCTTGATAACATGTTTATCAATAATTTAATAGAGAATTAGCTGATTGTAAATTAAGTATCTTCATTGCACAGGGTTTACCAGTGTTTTTAGTTTTATCTTTGTACATGGACTTTCATCCTCTTGGTATCTTCACACTTCTTTAAGCTTTAAGAAGTCTTGGTTTCGTGATGCATTGGACCCATTCAGTACTTCCTTTCCCAGCCATAACTCTGCTCTGGATTTCTGCTTCTACCACAAACTTTGGACTGTTTGTCCTTTTTTCCCTAGTCGTCTTCCTCCCTGTCATCCTCCTTTCTCAGTCTGTTCTTCATATATGTGTTGGTTTGGCATGGGTTTCTTTATTTCTTCCACCTTTTCCTGTACTTGACAGCAAACAGGAGTATTCTTTTCTTAAGATGTATTGTTAATAAGCTCTGATGCATATTTAATGTAGTCTTTTTTTACTACTTATTAATTACTGTTTTCCTCATTTTAAACAGCTTGCACTGTCTAGTGACAAGATTGCTACTTTACAAATGCCACTTTTAAACCTTCATCTAGACATAAAAGAAAATGGTGAAGTCAAACCATATTCTGTTGAAATGAGTAAAGAAGAGCTGCAGAATCTAATAAATTCCTTGGAAGCAGCTAATAAGGTACTTGTTTTAATTTTGTTGTGTGTTTAAAATGTTTAAGTTTTGATTGATATCCTTAGAACAATAGAAGAAAAACTCGTAATTGACTTTTCATATTTCTTTTATTCCTGATATTTTATGTTAAGCACAGAAAATACCTTGTTGATATGTTCTACATCTCTAGTTTTAGATATTTAATTATAACTTGTAATTTTAACTACTTAGTTTTGAGCATAATTTATCAAGGAGTTATTTTTGATAGAATAATAGTGCTCTTCTAACAGCTAGATTTTTTTGCCTCAGTCCTCATTAATGATAAAAATAAAATTTTTACTTAAAAAAAATAAAACTTTTACCTTGGGGCTATGAAATTAGTTGATCCTGAAGTGTTTTTATGATTATTATGTGTAGTTATGATTTTAAAGAAAACAGTGTCTTATTTAAATGCACAGATAAGGGGCGCCTGAGTGGCTAAGTTGGTTAAACATCTGCCTTTGGCTTGGGTCATGATCCCAGGGTCCTGGGATCGAGCCCCACATCGGGCTCCCTGCTCAGTGGGGAGCCTGCTTCTCCCTCT